CGTGAAATTGGATTGGCTCCGATAAATGAATAATTAGTACAGCCAATCAGAAGTGGTGGGTGAAATTAGGGCACTCGGGTTTCACCCTGTCATATAAAATTACGCACATATATAATTTACCAGTATCAAAAATCAGTTGAATCGGATCGGCCAAAACCTTATTTTATGCTTATTAAAGTAACATATTCTTATTTAATATGCCATGTAGGTCCACCACAAGTATGTGGTGAAGTTAAGTTGATAGATGTACCTGAAATGAACTATACATTACAGGATAAACCGTATTCACGAAGTGAAGTATGTGTTAGAGGTAATTCTATATTTAAAGAATATTACAAAGACCCCGAGAAAACAAAGGAATTAATTGATAAGGATGGTTGGTGCCATACTGGTGATATTATTGATCGTGTTAAAAATATTTTTAAACTGGCTCAGGATGAATATATTGCACCCGAAAAGGTAAGCTGTATTTTATTATTTGGTTTCGCGTTATTTTGTAAAACATTTATTTTAATTTATTTATTATTAGGTCGAAAACGTTTACTGTAAACATGAATTAATATATCAATATGGTGAATCACTTCAAGCATCATTAGTTGCTATAATTGTTCCAGGTTGTGATGTTTTACTTCTATGGGCAAAACAAAATAATTTGGGAAGTTATTCATTCGAAGAGTTATGCGAATTTCCACAGGTCAAGAATCATATCCTTCAAACTATAGTTAAATATGGTAAAGCAAATGATCTGAAAGGATTTGAGAATGTGAAAAATATACATTTGACATCAGAGCCATTTAGTTTACAAAACAATTTGTTAACACCTACTTTTAAATTGAAGAGACATCAAGCAAAAATTAGGTTTCAGAAAGAAATTGAAAAGCTGTATTATGAAATATAATGTTTATTTACGTTGTTATTCTATTCTTGCATGGCGCCATGTTTTAATGAATTTCAACTTTTTGCAATTAACATTCTCTGAACGAATTTATACGTAAAAAGAATTTTATAGAAAAAATTATAGACATAATATTTTTAGAATTTACTTTTTGTATTATAGTTTGAGGCAGGGGCATTGTGACCCGTGTCACGTTATTGAGGTTAATGCATTTCTTTAACTATCTTTTTTACAAGGATGTTTCATGATCCTGTAAGCCAAATCAAGCGATTTTTTATATCAATCGATTCTTCTCATCGAGGGAAATCGATTGGTATAAGAATCACACAATTCTGATTACTGGGTCACGAAATACAGGTGACCCTCGTTAATATCAACCCATTTGGATTAGACAATTATGTTGATATATATGAGAGGTAAAATTTATATAGCCTGAACACAATTTTTTACAAGTTTTGGTTGATATTAACGAGGGGTGTTTAATATTAGAAATTTCCAATACAGTATGTGCAGTATACATACGTATACTGTTTTATAAAAGAGCATCAGGTTGCAATCTGGAAGTGGTTAGTATTATGTAGGATTGTGCGATGATTCTGGATAACAAAAATGCAAAGTGCAAATACTGTATACGTATAAAACAGCAATCCAAACCTATCCCGATATTCTAATAAAAAATGTTGGGGATGCAATTTACATGTAATATTCCGACCACTATATCAAAATACGCTAGTCTGTATCTGTACAAGTGGAAACTTTGTTTTCGATAATACCCAAATTTTTATTACTAATACCAACTTAATCCTAACCAAAACGGACCTAACGTTAAACTCTGGCGCTAATGCTAATTCATCCAAACGTTTGGACTAAATCCTGTTCTCCGGAGTCTGTTCCAATTTTCTGAAATCGCGAATTTTTTCATGGGGATATTAGTACAACAACACCAGGGCGTAGGATCGATTTTCCGGTCACGTGATTTTCCGAGGTCAATTGGCCAATTAAAAACCA